AATACAGAACACAATGTCTACTATCAGTTATTACTTGCTAGAGGGGTTATGAACCATCGAACTGTGGATTTCGAATATCTTGAAAAGGCTGGCATTTCTGTAAAACATCTATTTGAAAGATTGGGGATTTATGAATTCTGTCTGCAATTTGCACATGTATATGCAGAACTGACTGCCTATTTTTACTCAAATTTTTCCATTTTGTCACCAAATTGGCTTCAATTCATTGTTGGTGATAAAAAGTTTGATTTGAAAGTGGAAGGAACTGGCTTTGATAATTGGAGCGAAAAATTACAAGTTTACTCCATTGGAAGTGAGCCTAGAAGATGCTTTCAAAGCGGCTTCAGAGAGTCAGAATTTTGCTCAAGGCTCTAAACGCCATATTTCATATTCTGATCTGACTAGAAGAACTGTGATCTTGCGTAAGATCATTATCAATTGCTTGAAGCCTAAAGCAGCTTCCAAAACTGACTTATCCAAGTCTGAAATCAAGCTTATTTGGGCCATTCTGAATGGACAATCTTTCTCTCTTCCACATATCATCATTTTTCATATGTACAGAACTCTCCAAAAGGACAAGGGACAATTTCCTTATGGTGCACTCATTTCTCGAATTTTTATGTTTTTAAAGATAACTATTCCTGATTTGTTGTGCAAAATTTTTGTACCTTGGATGTTTGTTGGAGAAAAAATGCTTACCAAGATGAAGCATTTTGATGATAAAAAGGAAAGAGCAAGCACAGCCAGAGGAAAGGATGCACCACAGTCAGAAGCAAAATCTGTTGGGAAGAAAAATGACAAAGACAAAGGGGAAAGAAAAAGAACAGGAACAGAAAGAAAGCAGGCTGTCTCTTCAAGCCCATTCAAGGTGTACAGGAAGAAAAGAAGAATTCTTCTCCGAGATGAAGATGATGAATCAGAACACCTTGAAACAGGACAGAATGTTGGTCCAGAACATGTTTCAGAATCTACTAAAAAGGGTTCAGAACCAGTATCTGGAGACTCACATCTGCATCAACAGGATGATATTCCACAAAAGACAGATGTAAGTCAATCTCCACTTAATCCTGAAGAAACTTTGAACGACACTACTGCTGCAGAACATGCAGATATTCAGGGGGAGATTCCAACAGATGCAGGGGATAAGTTCGAACGGCATGCACCAGAAAATATTCAGGGACAAACTTCAGAAAACATGACCATTCTGACCCTTCTGCTAGAAATCAAAGAAAAACAAGCTGCACTTGAAGAGGACGTAAAGAACCTTCAGAAAATTGTTGAGGAAAACAATCAGACTCAACGTCTTCAAGCAGAAAAAGACAAGGCAGAGTTAAGGGAAGCTATAGCTCTATGTTCAACAAATATGGAGCAAGCTATGGGTCAATGTTCTACCAAGATTGAGGAAGTTGTTTCTATTCTGGAAAACTTTCAACTTGTTCGAACCCCATCAAAGAAATAACCTGTTTTTCATACCCTCTTTTTAAACCTTTATGGATCTGTATTCTTAACAATTAACTTTGTTAGATTGTTTGGATGCTTTATATCAGTACTTTCTTCTGCTTATTATTGATTTAATCTTTTTGCTGATGACAAAAAGGGGGAGAAATTATGCAGATATTGTCGTACTAACACTCAAATATGCAGATTATACAGGTTATACTCAAAGGGAGAGAAATACACAGATCTTACAAGTTTGCACATTCATCAATTTGTGTTTCATGCGCTTAATATGATTATTTTCTTCAACTTTATTTAACATTGATTGAATCTGCATGGAAGTTTTGTCACCATAAAAAAGGGGGAGATTGTTGAGGAAAACTCCTAATGAATTTTGAAGCTGACAAAACTCTCTATGTTTATCTTGTAAATCTGATATGCATTCCATTCCAGGTTAATATATTCTAGAAGTTCATAAGGAAATATTAGATTTTACAAGTTTTCAGAACTAAAAGTTCAGACTCAGTCATAAGATATTCAGAATTTACCATAAAAGTCATTCGGACTCTAATTATGAAATATTCATATTTTCTCAAGACCTACGGCGACTCAAGTTCGAATTAGAAATTCTTGAGCAGGCTATGCAGGCTGACACGTTGAAATTTCTCAGACGCTGAAATTTTTCAGACGCAGAAGCAAAACTCATTCGGAAGGAATCACAACAGCTAGTGATCTGGCATGGATTTCACAAAAGGAAGATTTTGATTGACTCAATCTCAGTCTAATTGATTGACAATCAAACATTACGACAAGTATGCATTACAACGGATAAAGCTCTACTTATGGAAACCAAGATTCTGATTGTATGGGCGATCAGAATCAGCGGGATTTAGATTTTGTCAACCAACGGCTACTCAATCAATTTTATACAAATCTGTCCAAGATGAAGATTGGAAGATAATCCTCTGAAGACTGTCCAACGGCTAGCTTGGTAGTGGAGGAGTATAAAAGGACATCTACGAGGAGCAGAAGGAAGTACGAAATCGAGAATCAACAAATCCAAAGTCTAAGCATACTCCGATCCTTTCTCTTGTCTTTCTTAAGTCAAACATTAAGATCTTGAGGGACACTTTGTAAGAGTGATTGTGTGAGATAGAGAGTCCTATCATACACAAGAGTGCTATCACTCAGAATCTGTAATTCCTCTTGATTACATAGTAAAATCAAGCCAGTAGGCTGTCAGCGTGGGAGAATGGACATAGGCTTGCTATAAGCCGAACCACTATAAACTTGTGTGCAGTTTTTCTATCCCTTATCTCTTACTTTACATACTGCACATCAAGAGCACTGTCTATATAAACTGTTTTGAATCTGAATTTTATTCAGACTCAACTGTGATCATTCATTTCCGCTTAAATTGATAAAAATTGTTTAAGATCACCTATTCACCCCCCTCTAGGTGATCCTTGCTAGCTACATCAATGGGCTCCAAATGCATATTCCACACCATGAACTACAAAGAAGTCACAATTGTCAAAATGTTGAACTTAGTTTGGAAATATTAAGTCCACTGATACCTGATTTTACATTACATTGCATGGTGATTGCTCATCCACAGATAAAAGACAGAATCAATTCTGCAAAGTCTTTCCCCACGATGGAATAGCTTCCTCGAGGACACATAGGCAGCAGTATTAGTTTAGGTATACATCCAACTGTCCATTTCACTCTCTGAGGTTTCTAAACATGTTTTATACTCATCAAAACAGTATCCTATCCTATCCCTACTGGGTAAATAGGAATTCTATTGGTTTTGAGGAAGTTTGTTCAAAATATTTTTAGAGATTAAACCATATAAAAGGAATGACTTCCGGACTGATTCGTCTTTCTCATTGTTTGTCTGAAGGTAATATAAAGATATATCCAGCCATTGTCCTTTCAAGCATTTAGAAGCAGAAGCGTGTAAAGATCCAGTTTTTTTATGCTACAACAAGCTACACCAACAAAAGTTTAAACTTTTAGTCTTTTCAAATGCATTTTAGATGTGAACCGCTCAGCATCAAGCGCAGTTCCATGTTCCATTGGAATTGCATCTCATTCCACCTGTGAAAATAATATATCCCCATTTATGTAACTTCCCGTTTCTACTATTTAATCTGTAAGCTCCCCTTTTGAGTCCAAAAGGATAATCAGACGTAATAATTCTAATAAAATATGAATTGAATAAGGTTGACTTATCCTCCACACCAGAGTGAAAGATGCCAAGTGCAGCCCAGTAAACATATCCACTCAGGGTCAGATCATTCATATTGAAATAAACTGGTGCACAACCTGGACCATAGTCTGACTTTGTCTTGGGAAGGAAGCAAAATCAGATTGCTGATTTGCCTCTTAAAGACTTAAACGACGAGGAACCACTAATTTCCATGCTTTCCTGTAGCCCAGTTTCATTCTTATCTTGGGTGAAGAAACAAAATCTAATTCAAGGAGTTTTACATGCCTGTATGAAAGGACAAAAATAGAAACAGAAGTTCAGTCAAGGAGTGCACACAACCCAAATAATAGGCCAAAATTACAATCATAAGCAACCTGTATGAAGTTTTTTTTTGGTAAGAAAAAAAAATTATTTACTATAGAACAATTTATTTACTCTATCAGGGTGGAGAGAGGGGCGGAGGTTGAGGATGTGGCAACTAATTGATTGAGTACTAAAAAAGGACAGCTGCATTCTTTTCATTCCAAAGATCTACATCAGTTAATAAATTACTTCTCAAGAAGAGGAATTACACAACCAAATCATAATGATGCCACATTATCATTTGGTGAATGGAATCATGAACTATCAAAGTGTCAAGATGATCAAAGAGACATTGGAAAATCATCAAATTTCCCAAGAATTTCTGAAGTCTTTGAGTTCATTATAAAGAAAATGGGTTGCCAACAAAGAAATCCCTTTATGACACAACGCTTTGTGATTAACAATTATAGCATAAAATAGTTGTGGGGCCTGTTATGAGTTGGCATGAACTATATCTACGTCATTTAACGAAGCACCATGCCTCTTGAGCAGCCAACAGATGAAAAAAATAAAGAGTGAGGACCATTAGCAGAAAAAAAAAAAAAAGGTTTTGTATATAAATTACGAACACTAGATTGCCATGCCTTGTCTCTTAATATGCCTAGTTAGATAAAATCTATCATCGAACCAAGGAAGAAGGGAAAAGTAGTAGAGCCAGGCTCTATTTTCCCCAAGGATGTTAATTAAGAAAACGGTTCGAACTTCAAAAAAGAGAGCTGTAAGCACAGGGTACCTAGATAACCTCAACAAGGTACCACTTCTAATCCTCAAACATTCTTTTTCTGACAGGTAATCCTCAAACATTGTAAGACAGTGACCAGACTTAACCCAACGCACAGCAAAATCACAGAGAAAAAAAATATCCATTAAAGACCAAAGAAAATCCATCCCCGCATGCTTGCGGGTGCACATAGAGAGAGAGAGAGAGAGAGAGAGAGAGAGAGAGAGAGAGAGAGACTTACATGAGCCTCAAGGCCAATGATGCTTACACAAAAATGTCCCAGTCTTTTTAGTACAATCTTTCACAGTGAACGAGAATGCTACCCATCCTCTCATGGTATTATCAATTAGCGTACTTCAGCATCACCTCAAAGCAGCATTTTGGTGTGATAGTATCCAGCATTTTAGAGTCCGGTGAAAGGAAAAGTCTGAAGCTTTACCCTGCATTCTTCATAGATTGCTTCACTATCATAAAGTCCAGAAGCATGAAGCTTTATCTAGATGCTTCTGTATCTTAAAGTCCTAATCAAATCCTCCACAATGCATGAGATGACTTTTGATCACATTAAGTCGCGCCAAAAGCTTCTCTAATAACTCATTTTATGGCTGTCCAGATGTCAACGTTGGAGTGGGCCATTAATTTCATAAAATATTAGTTCGGATGAGTCCACAATGCGCTTGCTTTCACAGACCATACGACTACATAATTCATGCCTCGGTGCAGGACGAAATGATCTGAGTTGATATAAGGGATTAGTTATCTCGCATTTACTACACAGCTCCCTCGCTGGCTGCACATGCTTCCACCAGAAATCAGAAAGAGCAAGCTTCAAAAGATCCCAATATTCCTTATCGCGGTATATTCTGAAAAGACTGCTGCCTCTGGGAGTCCTTACATAGAAATGCATCCAATCCCTGTCTAAAATTTCCATCAAACCTTGCACTTGAGGAATGTAATTTAGATGAATCCGAGACCATGGGGAAGCTCTATTCATATCTCCATTGAAGAATGGGCACTTGATCTCTAGAACTCCTTTGCAGGGCAAGCCGCGAACAAGTTAGTCAACTACTCCATCAGGTGAAGCAGCAAGCCAACTGTCTTCGGGATTATTGTTTCCATAAACTTGAAACTCAGGCAAATCGACATTATATCTAGTGATCTGCTCGTAGCTTTCAAGCGCCTCCTTTTCCTTTATATTATTCCAACAGGTAGCCAGGTTACCAGAAAATGGCTCAATCAAGCCAAGTTTTTCTAACCAGAGCTGGACTCTTGGCTGACGCCAAAAGCCAATCGCTGCATTAAAAGTGCTTGCCGTGAGCTTATTTTTCGTTAGTTCTTGCCATTTTTTGAACCGGTGCTGCAAACTATCTGCTTGGAGAATAGAGTCCGGTTCACCACATGCAACTTTCAGAGAATAACCCAGATTGCTCAACTCCCTTCTAGATGGAAGATTTACGACTTGACCGTGGTAAGAAAGCCTCCCACTATGTGATTCCGATAAAGCGCAGCTGTTATACTGTCTCCTATTGCTAACAGCAGTATTGGCAGAACCCGTACGGCAGCTACATTTGAGTACAAGAAATGAAGGTCGTGCTATGTAGAGGAAGCAAGAACGGACTTCTTCACTGCCAAAAGTGAAAACAATCAGCAACTATATACGGATGCAATATACACAACATATATACGAGGAAGAGTTAGAGAAAAAAAAAACGAACAGGCATGCTAATAGATGTGAATGAAAAAGTAAGGTGAGGGGAATTTGCGGAAAGTCACAAATCAAAAGGCTCTTCTTGCATCCAGGTGACATTCAGCGTGAATATCCGTCAAGTGTAAAAACAAGTGCGGGCAACACAATCATAACTCATAATGCACCCATAGCTGAACTAGTCTCAGCTCCATTCCTAAAAAAAGGGAAAAGCTTTCTAAGGCAGCAAAATGACCCACCACCTCTACCGAGCAAAATCTCAAGCCGGAGCCAAAGGTGCTTCGACTTTCACACACGGAGGCGAGAGCAAACAATGAATCGAAAAACGAACACCTTAGATCATGGAAGACGCCAACAAAGCAAAACGGGCAAAGTTACGACGATAACACAACAGAAGATCATCCAACACGACGCACGCGAAACTTTGCATCGAAAGAAATCAAAGGATCAGATTGCCCGTGAACTTTCGGCAGTCAGAGGCTAATCGGACGAAGCAAGCTAGCGTAAAAACAGCAAAGTTTCGGTGGCTGACCGAGCAATCCCGTGACGAGACCAGCGCATAAGGGATGCGCAGGGGGTTAGAGGATGGAACCGATGATGCCCAGCGCGCGCCTCGCTTCAGCCAATCGTCCAGTCCGGGAGCTGCAGAACGCCAGGAAGAAGAAGAAGAAGAAGACGAAGGGTTTTAGAAGAGGTTTTACCAGAGATGGCGACCCGTACCGGTTTGAATACCGAACCGGTTAGAGCTTCCGGTTCATTTGGACCGGTTCAAAGCAGACAAGCCCAAGCCCAAGAACGACAAGCCCGGCCCAACATCAAGACCAAGACCAGGCCCAAGAACGACAAGCCCGGCCCAGAAACAATTCCTGGAGTGACCCCCAAGCCGAATGATGCTGTGCTCTCTTTAACCTTCGCTTTGCTTTGCACGGACACTCTCGCCTGACCTTCGTTTTCGCCTGAAATCTCCATCCTTGCAGAGCTCCGACCGTCGCTCCTCCGATCGATACGCCCCCGCGAAATCTCCGATGTCGGTAAGTACGCGAGTGTCGATCGTTCCGGCCGGCTTTGTCCGGAATCGTATCGTTGTATGTTGTTGTCGTCGTCGTCGTCGTCGATTGATTCGGTGGAACCGTGCGTGGCGCCGTGCAGATCTTCGAGTACAACGGGAGCGCCCTGATCGCCATGGTGGGCAAGAACTGCTTCGCCATCGCCAGCGACCGCAGGCTCGGGGTGCAGCTCCAGACCATCGCCACGGATTTCCAGAGGATTTACAAAGTCCACGACAAGCTCTTCCTCGGTCTCTCCGGGCTCGCCACCGATGCTCAGACTCTGTAATAGCCGTTGATCTCCTTGAGCTCGGTTTCGGTTTTTGTCACGAGCGAATGTGATGTTTTTTACTTTTGGGCGGGTTTAGCTTGGGTGATTGATTGAGTCTTGGCGGTGTGTAATTTGAAGGTACCAGAGGCTTGTGTTTAGGCACAAACTGTATCAGCTTCGGGAAGAGAGGGACATGAAGCCCGAGACATTTGCGAGCCTTGTTTCGGCTCTTCTCTACGAGAAAAGGTTAGCTTCGATTCTTACTTCGCAGGGGTTTTGTTTTTACCCCCTTTTTGGTTCGGAAAAGTGACTCGTGGATAGTGATTTCACTTTGTGCATTGCTTGTTAGCGTACAAGTGCATTCGCTAGGAACCAATACGTGGGATAAGAACTTGGCTTCGCAAGGATGTTCCTTTACTTTGGTTCCATAAGCCATAAGAAATGGAAATTGGGTAGGAAAATAATCAAAATTGTGTGCTTGGTGTTCACATTCGACTTGTAATAAGCAGGCAAGCAATAGAGGATAGTCCCTGCAATTTTGGACTCGCATTTAGCTTGTCTTGGACTGGTCCAGCCACAAATCAACCGGCCCTTCCCCCCATCAGAAAGAAATTGATATGCACATTGAGATGTGAAATGCTATTGTGATCTTTAAGTTATATGCGTTAGGTCATTGCAGAGTACTGATGCTTTGGTAGAATTCTTCCTTCATAGTGTAGAGATTGATGGTCTTGCAGAGCCTTTTATGATTACTAATTCACTGGGTTTTAAAAGAATCTGTAGGATGAGGTATGAGGTTTCCTCAGTATGTTCATCAACTTTCATCCTCATTTTACTACTTGTTCCTCTTTTTCTTTATGAGCATGATTGGAAAAGGCTAGAAAAAAGCCCCTATTGGCATCTATGATTTATTTCTCAAGTTGTGCAGGCAGGTCGATTGTTCTTAGTTAAAATATATTTGCTATTGTCTGCTATTCAGATTTGGCCCTTACTTTTGCCAACCTGTAATTGCTGGACTGGGAGATGAAGACAAGCCCTTCATTTGCACGATGGATTCTATTGGAGCCAAGTATGTTTGTTATGGTTTACTCGTCTTTTTCACCCGCATTGGTAACCGCTAATTGTGAAATTCTTGCAGCTTAAAGTATTAACATTGTCTTTTATACTGCATGTCTTCCTAATCTTTCCCCATTAAATCTTTGTGGTAGCCGTAACTTTGCCATGTATCTCTGATGTTATAGAGTTTTTTCAGTTCAGGACCATTGGATGTTGAAATTTGAATTGAAATCCTAAATCTTCAATTGAAATGAGTGGCCCAATTGGATTGCTTGCATTATCAACTGCTTGCTTGTTTGTTGAATTTTGTCTTATTATATACTGAAAAAAAAATCAAATTGCACATGAATGAGGAAATCCGTTATTAAGTTCCAAATTGACCCATTAACTCTGAGAAGTGGTTAAGCTGTCCTTGGATGCCTAATTCTTGTTTGTGATGATAATCAAGTCCTCTCTCCTCTCTCTCTCTCTCTCTCTCTCTCTCTCTCTCTCTCTCTCTCTCTCTCTCTCTCTCTCAAACATAATATTTTTGACCGAATCTAAGTTTTCTTTGTGGATAAAGAAGCTGCTTGATCATTAGTGCGCATTATATTTGGAAGGCAGAAACAAGTTTAATAATTGAAAAATATTATTCTCGGATTTAAGAACAATTTCCTGCTGTGCTTTTTGCCCCAGTTGTTTGTACTTTATCATGTTCTTTTCCCATGCTTTCCTGTGCTTTCCACAGAATATTGTTTCTTGTGCTTATCTTGATTATTCTGTTTGGTATCCTCCATTGTAATCACTGAAAAGGATGTATGATTTGTTTCTTTGCTTTCTCAACTCAAAATTGCCATCTCTTGGGTTTTGTTTATGTGACTTAACTGTAGTCACATCTTTTTTCTTTTTTTATTGTTTTCTGCAGTGGTGGCATAACTTTGCTGATAAATGTTATCATAGCCTTGTCCAAGATGTATTTGTGAATTGTTGGTTGGAATCATGTTCATTTGCCATGAGTTTGTTTCATTGTTTTGTTGGTCAGCATATTTATGTAGCTTAGGGTATCCCGCTTCTTCGTCTGTACTTTTAGAATTCCTATCACAGTATATTCTGCGTCTTCTCTCATATTCTGCTGTCCTATGCCTTCTTCAACGCTTACCCTTCTTGCCCTTTTTCCATTGTCTCGTGACATGTTGCAGTCCAAGTTGTATTTAATTCAACCTAAACAAATAATTAGGAGGTTATGGTGTTGTTTTGCATGAACTCCAAACATCCATATTTCCATCTTTTATTTTTGCACCACCTGACTAGCTGTATCGACATTCTTCAATTTTTCACGCCATGTAATATTCACTCATTGTAATATTCACTCATTGAATGTCTTGTTTGTCACGACCCAAAAAAAAAAAAAGTCTTGTTTGTGATATAAATCTGCTCTGTGAGGTTTGTATCAAGTCCTTATCCATGCTTTCTTTTCTTTAGTTTTCTCAATGTCTGTCATCATATTTGTATAGGTTGTGAATCCTACATTTTTTGGTTTTGAGCGGAACTTGCCATAAAAATCATTACCATTTTCCATGGTTTAATTATATCTATCTCCTATTATGAAGATGGAGAGAAAAATTTTCATTTGGGGAACTTTCTGCCTGCTGACAGTTGTCAAAAGAGGTGAAAAAATAATTAGGCTGGTTAAATGAGTCCTTTGAACTTTTCTGTCAAGGCATATCTAACTTGTTTCACATTTGACAAAGTTTTTCTAGGTTGTTACATCAATAGTGAGACCAATTGTTACTTTGTAAAATAGAGTGGGAACGGTACCTCCATGATCAAGTGAAATAGAAATAGACATGGGGTACACCTAAGAGATGAAAAGATAACTACCCTGGTTAAATGAGTCCTTTTAACTATTCTGTCGAGGCATATCTAGCTTGGCTTCACATTTGACGAAGTTTTTCAAGGTTGTTAGATCAAGTAGGAGACCAATCGTTACTTTGTGAAATGGAGTGGGAATGGTTCCTCCATGATCAATTGGAAGAGAAATAAGCATGTGTACATGTAAGTGAGAATGTGCTGATGTTCTAGTTTGCCAAATTTCAGTCCTTGATTGTATGGTCTAATAATTGGCTAACCTGTGTTTTCTTTTTTCCAATTTCCTGCATCTGACACCAAATGAAAGTACTTTATTTACTTTTCATGATTTCCTACCATTTCGCTTCCTTTTGAGCTTGGAAATGACTTTTTTCAGGTCATATGCTGCTGTCTTCATTCAATAGCCAAATATAACCAAGTATTACCTACAAGGGAAAATTGTCAATAGATTATGTGGAGCTCTATTAATAACCCAGCTTGTTTTGTGGTTAATTATCTTCACGGTGTTATTTAAAAGATTCACTGTATTAAAGATGATTAGGAGACTGTAATCTTTCTGTTGCTATATGTAATAGCTATTCTATAGTCCAGTGATTACTTTTGGTTGTTTCTGTTTTCAGGGAGCTAGCTAAAGATTTTGTTGTTGCTGGCACTGCCTCAGAATCTCTTTATGGTGCCTGCGAGTCAATGTTCAAGCCTGACATGGTTGGTTTGTAACTTTGTAAGGAATAATATTCTGTGCACAATCTGTGTAGAGAAAAGCTTGCGCAGGCTATGTTGGATGCATGACTTGTGTCATGTTTGGTCTAAAAAGTTATTCAAGATGCCATGTCATGGATCCAACACAACTTGTGTAAAGTTTTCTTTCTGCAGGTTGTGTGCTTATAATAATGCAGAAATGCTATTTATTGCATGTGCGACGACTCATGTTGTCAATTTGCCTTTGGTTTTGATCAGGAAGCTGAGGAATTGTTCGAAACTGTCTCTCAAGCTTTATTATCATCGGTAGACAGGGACTGTCTAAGTGGTTGGGGAGGACATGTCTATGTTGTGTAAGCCTTCTTCTCTTCTTTTTGATGACTTAGTTTATGTCTGTATGACTATCTGTATGGATGTGGGCTTTGTGGACAATTGTCAAATTCATAGCCTCCTGTGTGCGCATTGTATCCATATGCATAAGGTTAAATTGTAGTTTCTGGTTCTTCTTGGATCTGGTAAAAATCTAAAACTCTGTGGCCCTCTGCAGTTTCTCGACATTTGTTTTCTCACTCATTGGGTGGTTTTTGGGAGAGAAATGGATAGTTGAAGGAAGCTATGACAATAGGCCATTGAGCATCATTTTACTTCATTACCTGGCAAACAAGGCTTGTACGAACTTCTGAGTTTAATGAGAATAAATTCCTGGTGACGTCAGTTTTGATGTGGTGAATTTGACAAAGATATTGGTCCCCCCCCCTCCGGAAAAAAAAAGATGAAAAAAAGCAAAACCCCACCCCCTGGAAGAGAAGATTAAGAAGGGGCTATTATGACGGTCTCTCCGTTTTCCTTCCTAACAACTCCTAAGCTTGATCGATACTTCCCTAGTTCTTTGATTTTCTTTTTTGGTGGAATTTGCTTATTCATCCGTCTTAAGATGCATGCAAAGAATACAAACCTGGCATTCAGAATGTGACAGCATATTGGAAGGGCAATGACGACTATGGCTGATGCCATCGTTGTGTTTTTTTTATTTTTCTTCCTGCAGAACACCAACTGAAATCAAAGAACAAATTCTGAAGGGGAGAATGGACTGATCTTTCTGTGGAGCTGGAAGCTGATCATTCATAGTGTTCCTCAACCACCTGTAGCTTCTGTCATCCTTTTTCTCGTTTTGTTCCGGAAAAGTGAATCAATTGGGGACTGCTCCTTTTTCTTGTTTTGCATTATGTATGCTGAACTATATAGAATTATGTCTGCAATTTGATTGAAATCTGGATGCTTAGATCACATTCCCTCATCCCTGTGGCTATCAGTTAATGGGAATTAAAAATGCGGGTTTTTACCCCTTTTGTATGGTGAACTAGTTTAACAATTTCACTTAGTTTGCATGGTGGTTTATTTTCCTATACTGGCAATGTAACCTGTTGCTACGTGGCAACTGGCAAGTTATGTTGCGCTGAATCTTTGTTTTTTCTTTCTAGTCATTTTAGAATGAAGGTCTAGCATGAGCTCTGGTTTCTGTCATATTTTCAGCAGAGAAGCTTGAACCTGCTTGTTAGTGTCTGCGCACAACATCATTGAGCAATGTTGCCTTCAAAATCGAATCCTGCGAAATCGACTTGAGATATGGTTCTTTACGTTGTTCTGTTTTTTGCTGGGATTCCGTGATGCATAGGCCGTAGCGGCCAATTGGATGCGTAGAAAGTATGTGCTGAATGCTGAGGCAAATCATTTACAGGCAATGCAGGCAGGCTCTGTTTTTCTTTGCCACTCCACGAGACAATGGAACTCCTTTGCCTCTATTTTTCTCGCTTTTTAGCCAAGAAACGTTATGCTTTTAGCACACAAATTAGGTTTGACAACCAGGGACATCCAAAGCCAAATCTGTCCGTAAGTGCGTGTGCATTGTGCACATTTCTCTTGCTTACCAACTCAATATGCTTCCTCCACCGTTAAAATTGCAGAGCAAGTAAAAACTTATCGACTTCTTGCATTGTAGTCTGAAAGTTTTCATTTAACATCGTGCGCTTGAATCCTTTCGTCAATTCCATCACTTTTTCAGCATACGAAAGATACCACAGCTTATTTTATTATTTTCTTTATGCTCTCTTAATCATTTTTTGGATTCTTGATCTCAAAACAATGTAGTTTTAACACAACATTAGAGAATTAAAATTGGAAATAATCTCAAAATTGAAAAAAGAAATCAAAATAAAAATAAAAAATAACACAATTAAGGGTGGGATTGCAAGTGGCGACCCTTGCTAAATGCTGGTAGTCGACCCTTGCCCGACCTCCAATGATGACCTGCTTGCCCTCACCAGATCGCACCCTTGCAGAGCTCGGTTGTGATGCACAATCGCCGCCCTCGCCACCACTAAGTTGAGGGCTAAGCCTCCCTCTCTTGGTGGTGGCGGCGATCACGGCGCCACCATCCAGCTACGCAAAAGGGCAAGCAAGGGCCCTGCTTGCTCGTAGGGAGAAGGTCCGGGCCCTTGCAGGCGGTGGTCAGGCCGGGGTCGTCGACCGTCACCGGCGAAAGGGGGGCGACACCCGCCCCTCGAAATCTTTTTTTCCCTTTTTGCAAAACCGACATCATTCTTTTTAGGGCGTTTCGTCGCAAAATTAACGGTCACACAAGCCTAAACAATTGAAAAGGAAAAAAAAAAAAAAGAGAGACATTTCCTACTGAAAATGCCCAAAATCAGAGCCTCAAACTAAAGTGGACAAAACTAAGTAAGTTGGAGGGTATTATGAAGCTCCAACTATGTATGAAAGAAGATTGAAAGCACCACCACCCCAAGAACAGAAAATGACGGCTTGTCGCTCTCGTCGACAATGTACACTAATTAGCGGTCTGCCTCAACCCAAATTACGGCGCCGGGAATAATCAGTGTTGCTGATCTCTCAGTTTCAGTGTTCCTTTCTTCTTCTTCTTTTTTGTGGTCTGTAGTTTCAGCGTTCCTTTCACGTGGGGCAAGTTTGCACCATTCCACTGCTTTTCCGTCTTAGTTCAACGTTTTCCTCATTTTGCTTTCACGCTCCGTCAAATCTCTACTCCCTTCTCATTTCATGAAGGAAGAAAAAAAAGAGACTATTGCGTACACATCTTTTTTGTCCATGCGGGAAAGTGACTTATTCGAAGCGATCCAATACTCCGAAAACGATAGTGAATAATAAGAGAAAGGCGACGTCGTAATTCCGTAGTTCTTTTCTCCCGAGCTAGAGCGACGAAGAATCTATGTCCGGATTCGACTCGGGCGTGCCCCGGAAAAATGTACGTCGCGAAAGCGTCCCGCTAATCCTTTTGGGTATGTGCTGGTCGAGCATTTCAAAATGGGCAGTGAAGAAATTGGGAGATTGTCGCCTCTGCCATCTTTCACGTTTGCAATCTGTGCTTGGTCTTCTTCCCTGTTCCGGTGGGAACGGATCTCGGTTTCGCGCATGCTTTTGCGGATTTCGTGAATCTTTCCTTGGAAGACTAATCTTAGACCAAAGGCAATGGGAACCCATGGAAAAAAAATAAAAAGAGAGACAATAAAGTCTGGTTTGAAATGTTATTCAAGGTTGAGTCGGTTGGCATCAAGACCTATTATATAGGAAAAATTATCCAATCGGTCATAAACTTACCAATTATATAAATGTCAATTCAGTCCTAAATTTTTTAATTTTACCAATTTGGTCTTATACCTTTACTCGAAATTTCAATGTAGTCTTTCCGATAAATTTTCGTCGGAAATCGCTAATATAGCGGTCGAGTCATTGTCGGCCAACCTACACGGCACACCATTGCATCGGCAATTTCCCCGGGAAAAAATTGACGGAAATTACTACATCAGAGCCCCGCGCAGAGTTTCGAAACTAAATCGGCAAAATTGAAAAGCTCGCCCGATCGACATCCGCTCGACAGCGGTTTCGCCACACGCGCGACAGCTACCGGGGGTCGATTTCACACCGATGGGGGGGAATCCCCCATCCCCCAAGGATCGAGAAAGGGCCAAACCCGTCTCCTGGGGGAAGTGGGGGTTGGTGCGGCGTGGGGGATTTGGCCCGATTCGACCATTCCTCGGACGGACCAACAACGTTTCGAAGACTTTTTTCGTGGGGTGGAAATTAATAATCATCTCTGGTCGACACCATTATTACTACTTTCTCCTGCTTTCCTTCTTTCTGCTTTCACGGCACGTTTTCATGTTGCATTTTACCAGCGACGACAAAATGGTCAGACTTGGAACGTACGACAGGATAAGAACGAGAGAGGGGGGAAGGGAAACAGGTGGGAAGCTTCCGAACTGCCCACCAAATCCTTGTTTACCACGTGTGCCCATCCGTAAAAAAAAAATATGTTAAATTTATAAAAATTATCCAAAAAAATCATAAACCTATTATAAGGGAGGCCGATTCAGTCATAAGCATTTCAATCATGTTAAATTTAGTATTAAGCCTTTCGACGATTCGGCAGTATAATCGATCGTGTCAGTTTAGTCCTTCCGACCAGATATCTAAATAACAGGTTTAGGACTGAATTGACAAATCTTCGAAAAGGTTGAGGACTAAATTGACACGTTGACAAAAAAAAAAGTTTAGAACTAAATTGGCGAATCGTCAAAAGGTTTATGATTAAATTGGCACAACCGAAAAGTTTAGGACCGAATTGATCACCGTACAATAAATTTTTTGACTTTTTGGATAAGCATCTCCGCTTTATATGAAAAAAATTATGTGGATAATGACGACCGGTTCGAATTTTTTGGATAAGTCCCTATCCTAGAATAGGATTGATTCCTAGGCTAAGAACAAAGAAAAGTCCGAAAGCTTGTTCGCGAAGAAATCCACGTTGCGCTATTTATGGGAGACTTTCCCACACGCCATGTTCGAATTTCCTAGAAGAGAGAGGATTAGCTGGACAAAGCAATGGCAAAATATATACATATATTATTTTTTTATTTAGTAGCGGAAAATATGTGTTCAAAAAAATCATGTGGCGGCTGTTATTCATCAAAATTATCCAATAAATGTTAGTAATTTATCTTAATTATAAAAGAAGAAGCCGATAATTTGGGAAATAATTACAGCTACGGATGACTAATCGACTTCGCTTCCACTGATGATTTCTCCATCTTTTTCCTAAATTTTCAATCGCCAAGTAGGAATTGAACTTTCTTGGAGATACCCTATTCAATAAAAGAAAATAATAATTATAAAATAAAGAGAAAGATTAGAGGGGACGTAAAGTCGGATTGAGATGTGCTTTTAAGTAATTAAGGAATTCTCAAATAATCCAGCAAGGTAAGCGGGATTGGTATTTAATGGGAACCCGTTATTTGACATTTTTTTTTTTCATTTGGAAAGTAAAATCGCTCAACCCCCCTTTTCTTTTTCTTTTTTGTTCATTTAATTGTTTTTTTTCAGGTAAAAAGTTGCATCGTCCCTTCTTTCGTGTTAGAAAGTAAAATGTTATGATGACTATACGAGAAAACCTCTCGTAATCACATTGTCCCATAATAATTTAATAAACCATATTAAGCACAAAGTTTCCTTTGATTGCGCTCAACGCGCCCACCTCTATTGGGCTAGGTTCATTGAATCAATCCATCAACCTAGTGGCGGAGTCAAAAGGATAGATCAAATAGTAGATATATAATCCACAAGATAGAGAACGTTAATTCGGCATCAATATACACCCAACACCTTGAAGTCGAAAATAAGTTTAACCGCGTTGAATTATAAAAATAAATAGTTCTTATCGGAAAATCACGGGTTGTCTCGATTTATCTGAATCAGTTCAATTGGATTGACAGGCTTTTTCAACACGGGAACAAAAATACAAATTTCAAATGTGAGGTTATGTGTACATGAAAATACGAGATCTGTTACGATCTCTGCTGAGCTATATCGACTTTCCACTTATATATCATTTTCCTTTAATTTTTGAGAAGGAATGTAAGTTGATCGTCCGAAAAGTGTACACCAAATTCAAGAGTTTAGCGATTAGCGCAACACTTGGCCTTGTACATCGTATAAATGTAAATAAATACATAGGTCGGTAATTTCCATTTGGTAGTGATGTTTGATGAAAAAAATTACCGTGCAGCATAATATAAATATGACGTGCACTATCAGTTTTAAAATGAGTATAATATGCTGATAAGATTTTGAAAATGGAGAGATCTCAAAAGAAGTTTGCCAATTTTGGATGCCATAAAGATCTAAGCTTTTTAATAGAACCTATTTTGAGAAACAAATTTCCTTTTTTTTTGGCACAATAATCCCTGTTTTTGTTATTAGGATAATCGTCCTTTAACAAAAGATTAAATGATTATTCGAGTAACTTTTACCATAATTGGAGAAGTCAACATTTACCCGGAAAAAAGAAAAGGTCAGAACACAAATAAACATATCGAGCAAAAATTTTAGGCCAATCACGACACCCATCCATCCAACCAATCACGGAGTATAAAAGTGTTGGGTTGATCATTTTTCTCAAACGGAAGATAATGAAATGCGAGACATCCGTACTGTATGATTGCTCGGGGCGACATGATCCTCCTAGATGACCTGAAAACCTCTTCAAATGTATACGGTACTTGTATATACTATGGATTAAATCGTTCGAGCATTTAAAAAGAAAAAAGGAAAATACCAACTTCCTCTTCATCGCTTTTAATCTCCATTTCGAAAATCCTCGTTTCACTGAGATGAAACAACGTTGCCTAAAAGACTCAATTACCCTTTCTCCGAGTCAATTCAATCGTGTCAATTGAAAGTTTGACGGAAGGTGAAAGCGTGCGCTACTTTGACCGCATGTTGTTTGACAAAAAGGTTAAATTAGCTGAAAACAAGGAAGACCCATGGAAGGTTCAACGTCAAGATCCCCCCCTTTTTCTCCAGTCGATCTCAATTCTCCTTATATGAAAATCCGATAAATAATTTATAACTAAATAATTTTCGCTCGAAATAATCAGTCGATAGGAAATACCTTCACTAGCGATAAATAATTTATAACTAAATATTTTCGTGGACGGCGAAAATGTTTTTCATCCGTTAATTTTTACAAGAGAGGATGTCCGTAGAAGAACATGCTTAAAATTAATAACCCAATAATCATGTATACATATATATATAAACCATAATAATACAAATTGATTAATCGCATTTTCTGAACAATTTCCCCTGCAATTTCTGCAATCCCGAACCAAATTCAATTATTATTATTATTTATTTACACGTGGCAGCATATGGTTCGGTGCGACAACATGGTTGTTAAGTGAAGGACTGGGACCCACTTCTTTTTTGTCCAGTATAATAGTGGGATGCTGACAAATCAACTGGACCACGTGGAAAGCCTACATGCTGACTTGTACCCCCCGCCCAGTCCACCGTTAAATTTAAAAGTAGACAAAGATACATATATAATATAAAATAAAAATAGCTTTTTTTTAAAGTGCTAACTTTCGTTAGTCGTGATTTATCACCGGTTGATGCCAGCTTTCGCTATTTAATTAGAAAAAAAATACAAAGGAAAAGGGGGACATTATCTAGACGATGATAACTTTGGTAATTTAATTTGGTATTATGCAAATGATGTCTTAGGACAATTATAGGGAAGTTCTGATTTTCTAGATATCAATTACATATTTCATAAAAAAAAAATAGGGCGAAAGATACCGAAAATCCTAAACTAGTCACACTATAATACATTTACCCTAAAATTTTTCTTATGACACCAAAATCTCAAACTTATACTTATGTGACATATATATATATATCATCTGTTAAAGTTCTGGCTAAAAAGTCATCACATGAGTAGAGGTTTGGGATGTGTTATGATGAACATAACTTCGAATTTTTAATGTCACAAAAAAAGTTCAGGGGTACACGCGCCGTAACTAATGTAGCTCGGGATTTTGTCGTGGCTTTTTCCCAGAAATTTATTCGTAGTAACCCAAGAAGGCCGTCGTCAATACAATTTTATCCTATTTGTTTTGATCGAGAGATATTAAAGTAAGATAATAACGTCATACAAAAAAGGCACAAGAAATACGTGCGATTTTTGTAACAGGCGGTGGAGGCACTAGAGGGTAGTAGGCACGCGGCCACACACACACGCGCGCGCGCACAAAAGGCAAAAGCACAAGAGTCCAAAACAAAAATCGTAAGCAGTGACAGAATCGAGAGTCCCACTACATGTGGGCGTCGCCCCACGCACGCACGCACCCCCACTTGCCCGCCCTCCACGCGTACCCCGCCCCCGTCCCTCCTCCTCCCGCCACGTGTCCGTCCCCCCCCCTTCTATATATGCTCCCCCTTCCCTTCCGTCCTAAGTTTCAACTTTCATCGCTCCCCTCCTCCTCCTCTTCCTCCTCCTCCGCCGCCGCCGCCGCCGCCATCCGCCGTGCGTGCTGCGCAGTAGAGATTACGGTGAGGTGAGGAAGACGGCGAGTTCGCGACGAGAGGCCGCTGAGATGACGGTGGACGTGCAGCTGCCGCCGGGGTTCAGGTTCCACCCGACGGACGAGGAGCTGGTGATGCACTACCTCGTCCGCCGCTGCGCCTCGCAGCCCATCGCCGTCCCCATCGTCGCCGAGGTCGACCTCTACAAATACAACCCCTGGGACCTCCCCGGTACATATATACCCCCTCGACAGAAATTGCCAAATCTTAGGATTTTCTTTCTTTCGTTTTGCCTGGTTTCTTAATGGGTTGGTCTCGTGGGTTTCGTCTGAGCGCAGGGCTGGCGCGGTACGGGGAGAAGGAGTGGTACTTCTTCTCGCCGCGGGACCGGAAGTACCCGAACGGGTCGAGGCCGAACCGGGCGGCGGGGACGGGTTACTGGAAGGCGACGGGGGCCGACAAGCCGATCGGCGGCGGGGGCCCGAAGGCGGTCGGGATCAAGAAGGCCCTGGTGTTCTACGCGGGGAAGGCCCCCCGGGGGGACAAGACCAACTGGATCATGCACGAGTACCGCCTCGCCGACGTCGACAGAACCGCCCGCAAGAAGAACAGCTTGAGGGTATGTCCCAGTCACCGCCCTTCTTCTCTCTTCTTTTTCCTTGCTCTTCTTCTTGGTTATCCGGTCGTGCCTCCGAGGGTAGGAAATGTAGGCGTCACGCGTGACGTCATCGCAACGGGGCTTCCGTCAAATCCTCCCCCGCACGAGCCGCCCTCGTGTCGCTCGCGTTCGCGCGAATCTTAAGGTTTCGACACGGACGGCGCTGGAGGGAAAAAAGCGCCGCACGTGCGTAAGGCGCGGTCAAACGTCGGAGCACGCGGTAAAAAAAAAATCGAAAGGGCGGTTCTTTCTTCCGGATGAGATTCGCGATGTGCGGTCGAGGATTTTTACCACTCATCGATCGAGGGCAAAAGGGGAAAAAGTCTCCCCCCCCCCCCGCCCTCATGTCTATCTTAAGCCACGTCACGGGTGACGAGTGACGACAAACGATGCGCGGAATTCAAAGATAGATTTTTTATTTTTTTTTTAAATCACCGTTTCACGCGGATAACGTTTGACTTGGGATCTTGAGTTTTTAATTCGATGGTCTTTGGTGGTTTGATTTTTTTTTGGCAGCTTGATGACTGGGTGCTGTGCCGCATATACAACAAGAAGGGCACCATCGAGAAGAAGCCGACCCACGTGCAGCCGCCGCAGCCGCCGGCGGTTCCGCAGTCCGTGGGCCCCGCCGCGGCGGCGGCCAACAGCTTCACGGAGCAAGAGGACAGGAAGCCGCCGGTCCTGACGGGCCGTGCTGCGGCGATGCCGACGCTGCCCCTGCCCCCTCCGCCACCCTCGGGCGCCGCGCTGAACGACCTGGTGCACTTCGACTCGTCGGACTCGGTGCCGAGGCTGCACACGGACTCGAGCTGCTCCGAGCACATGGTGACGACGGAGCTCGCGTGCGAGGTCCAGAGCGAGCCCCGGTGGAAGACCGGCTGGGAGAGCGTGTTCGACTTCGGCTACGGGGACTCCGCCGGCGGCGGCAGCCAGATGTCGCCGCTGCAGGACATGTTCATGTACCTGCACAAGCCGTTTTGAATCTCGGGGCCGCTGGCGTAACCCGACCCGAGCCGGATTGGGCAGAGCGCGCGCGCGCGGCGGCAGCACGAGACCCGCGAGTCCATGAGTGCGCTGGTGCGGGCACCGTGTCCGGGAGAGATGATTAGTTCGACCGGACGGCGATGTTTGGGACTTGGATTGTAGCACGGATTAGTCGTGACCTTGGGTACATCATCTGTATATATTGCATGTTTCGTGTGGTGTATACAGAATCATTAGTTTACAAATGAAAGTTGGAATTGTCATCCGCTCCGATCTTGAGAGTCTCTTTTACGCAAAATGATCACTTCCATACAAAGAACAAGTTACTTGTTTTTCTTCTTACGACCACAACATCCGAGGCTTAAGAGAGGATTTGAGCCGAAAGAATTGTGTCTAACGACTGACATTGAAGAACTCTTTGAAATTTCTTAGGGTGGTCAGTCTATTATTTCTGCTCAATTCTGTTATGCTTAATTCTATTCTCGGGAATAATTCTAAGTATTTGATGACGTTTGATAATGGTCTAAAATTTACATTTCTGAAATAGAAAAAGAATATAACTGCATTTGGTAATTATAAAATATTTTTTTTTATTAATAATATTTTAATATTTATTTTTTTCTCTTTTTCTTTTTTCTTCTTCTCCTTCTTGGCCATGACCGGCCAGGGCATCGCGGCCCTTGCCGACTCAGGCGAGGGCTGGACCCTCGCCGGCCAAGAAAGAAGAACAATAGGAAAGAAGAAAAAGAAAAAAAAATTCATTCTATTTTTTATTTTTGTTCTCAGAATCAAGAATCAACTTCTTTTTTTATTCTTAATTCTGTTCCAAAACTGATTCTGAGAACAAATTTATGCCTGGGAACAAAAAATTTACCAAACAGATTTTTGTTCTTTTTTTGTTTCTTGAAATAAAAGAATAAAATCAGTTACTATTTAGCAAATTACCAAATACACCCTTACTCTATCTCGTGCAACGTGACAGAACTACTCTAATTTTTGTAAAGCAAGAACCAGATTGATGCCGCAGATGAGCGATTTTTTGGCCAAAAAGTGGACACTGCATCGGGCACTGCTTGTGAACTTTGCAGCATCAGTTTGCAACGATCCTTTGTGCATTTCTGTAGATATAGCTACTCACACTGAACAAAAGCAACACAAGATTATAGGTCCCAACTTCATTGCATGCTACGGAAAATGGCACCCAGATAAATGTTAGGGCCAAGGGTAGAAACATATTGTAGCTACAACATATCTAATCTACTTCACAGCAGCAACCAGTGCAGCACGAGCATGCGTGAAAGAGGCGATGAGCGATCCAAGCTGCAATTTATCATTGCATCCGAAGCTCAACCGGTACCTGCAGCATGACAATAGCCGCATTTAAGGATGTAAGACTGAACCGCAAATGTCAGAACCAAATCACATTCACCAGCAATTTAAAGTACATCACGGCATAAGCTTTCATCTACCCGTAAGGACAGTAACATTATTCTTTCGTAGGGTTTCCGTGCTTTTAATTTATAAATTTTCAGCACCACAAGCATCTGGCTAATGGAAAGAAGGAAATCTGGAAACCCTAAACACAATCATGATTCCTTCGGGTGATTCCCTTCTATGATTGCCATGTTAACTCCAGTCCATAGCATAGCAGATCGAACCAACTAAAATGCACCATAACATAGATGAGATGCTATCAGCGGGGAAAAAATAGCTATAGCTGACAGCTGCTACCTATACTGCCAATCATAATTGGACAAAAAAGAACAAAACTATTATACCAACTAAAGCATGAGATTCTTAGGCTACGACACGGTAGCTGAAATAACAAGTAAATTAGCAACAGAAGTGCTTGCCCAAATGTAGATCAGTTTAGTTCAGGCTGAGAAAATTTTAGACTAGCTGGTTGAATAAGAACAGGCAGTACCCTACTCAACTTTTAAGAACCCTTTGTCCTTCAAATTCAGAAATCTATGATAAGTCATGTACAAAAGTTGGTGTTTATGGTCTCATTCTTAACTTCTCGTTCCCGGATTCTTCATACAGGCACAGATGCTTATCTACGTAATTTGAGATTGACATACACTGTAAGATATGGTCCGTAAGAATCTTAATTGTTTTTCACACTGATCATTGTAACTGATCCTGTGAGTTCGACTCTATTTTTTACTCCTATAGCAACCAAATGATAAATCATAAGATGCACAAGATGAACTAAGAGGGGACCATACTCGATGTCTGCTAAATCATTAATCAGCTGGACACGAACATCTGATGGCATCTTGATTTTAAATACAAACCTACAAGAAAGAAGCCTCTGGATGTCATGATTCATTGGCAGAGAAGAGAAAATATCCCTTAAAAGCCACACAGAACTTACATTGTCACTTCCCTAACAATGTCCAACAAGGCCAAACCTTTCCTTGTCTTCATATCAGCTATTCCTATACAGAGATACCAAAGGAAAAATAAGTTAACATGACATCAAACAAACTACAACAGTTATGTGATAAACAGAGGTGGCAATAACCTACGTTTCAAACTTGTAGCAAAAGATTCATTTAGAAGCCAATAAGATATTTGCTCGATGTCTTTGGGCAGTGGATTTCCGGTACAGAGGTAGACAGCTTCGTCAGTTATTTGTTGAGAAGCCATATGCGTGGACTGCACAGAAGATAAGGGTACAAGAATTTCTTTTTACATCCAGTGACACAGAAGCATGGGAGATGCATCAATCGAGAAAGGCACCAGAACAAAACTTCAGCAGTTAACATCATCTTCCCCGATTTAGTATCATTAAGATGCTACATTTAAAGGATGACAACACTCATCACAAAGGAATCAGCTTCTATATTGCTAGAGCATTGTAAAAGCAGGTTACAAGCGGCACAGAAGAACCATAAACTGGTATAACATAAAGCGTACAGTTGGCACAAGGTGCAATGTATAATGAATGAGTAACATATGGTTTTTTAAGTTAAGCAAAGAGGTGGAAGAAATTGAACAAAAGTGCAGTTTGTGTTTTTGCGTTCACCCATGTCAACATGAGTAATATATCATGCTTACTCATACTTGGTACTCGCAGTACAACAGCAGGACCTGTCCTACCACGTAAACACAAATCCAAAGCAGGGTTCCACACAAACAGCGTCCACCATAAAACCATCCCCCGATTATGTAGCTGATGATAAATTTAAATAATTCGGACAGAAGAACACAAAAAACATAACATGCACACTGAGAGGTAAGCAGAAGCAACTAACAAAGTGCTTCTGTGTGCAGACATCCGAACAGACAAAGGCTTTGAGAAAAAATCGCATGCATCAAAACATGTATGCAACAAGCGAAGGTAAAAACAAGCAATCATGAGTGTCTAGCATCAGATGCATGGTTTCACTGAGTATTTTCTAGACAGTAAGTATCTAAATTTTCAAAAAATGTGTCTGAACATGCAAATCCACAAGTCATGGACAAGTCTAGACAGTAACCTGCAGAATGTTCAAAGCCTTTCTCATGTCACCGTTGCTGAGCCGTACAAGTGCCTCCAAGCCACTCCCAGTTACATCAAGCCTATTGAAAGAATAATTATCAGATACCTCTCAACATTTTATACATTCAGGAACATAACTATTGCCAGACTGACACAAGTAGATCGTTATAGATTAAAAACCCAAGATTTGGAAGAAATCAACCTAAACCCCAACACATTGATCAGATGTTTTCTTCCTACATTAACAATCCGAATGAATCCCCTAAATGAATCATGAATTATTTAGTGAAAGCAAGGATCAGTTTGGCATTTTACCTGTGCAAACTTTCTTCATAAGGTCATTTAAGAAACTAATGAGTCCATCCAATAAAACACACTCATATCAGGAAATCTTTCCAGGGAATACATAAGATATGAGAAAAGGGTGAAGGACTTTAAGCTAAGCCATGGCATTAATAATCTGCTTTCAAAAGTCAATTGAAAAAGTTTTGGCTGGAAATGGTATGTTTACTACAAAGTCTCGTAGAACACACGAAAGACAAGAAAAAGGTAAATTAAGCACAGCCAAAGTTACCCCTCAGCTGCTATGACATGTTTAAGTCGATCTGCAACATGGATGCGATCAAGAGGAGCGAATCTGAATCTGGTACATCTAGATTGCAAAGCTGGAATAATCTTGTTGACATGATTACAGATAAGAGCAAACCTAGTATGCTTCGTGTATTTCTCGATCACTACACAGATGTGAACAAAACAAGTCAAGTTAACAATAAAAATAGTAAATTCACTTGTGTTGGAAGCGATAATTTGCTCATAATGGTCAGACCTCTACGCAATGCAAATTGCGCATCCTTTGTCATGGCATCAGCCTCATCCAGTAGTACCAACTTCACAGAGGATTTAGCACTGCAAGATTAACCAACATACGAGTAAAGTTCAGATGACCATCATGGTAGAAATTCTCGAGAACAAAATGCTTGAAGCAATCTCTTTAGCAATTTAGGATTATTGAGTTGATGTGCCACTGTTTCCAATAATGGTACTTCAAAGATGCCATCTTAAACTTATGATAGCATGGTAAAGCAGAGGGTAGGAACATGCGAGAGTATATAACAGCTCTAAGTGCAGTGAATTATTAAATGTACTGCAAACAAAAGATCATTTCTCGACTCCAGGAATAGATAAAACTGAAGAACGTTCAAAATCTCAAGCGAGTAAATTTCTACGCATGGGGAAGAGTGCCGACCATAGTTCCAAAGGGCCAAAAAGCCAGTAATTACACCAGTTATCTCGAAGAGTACAGGTTGTAGCAGCAAATGCGAATTCATAGTTACCCAAATGAGAAGCTCTGAGTGCTAGCAAAGTCTTGAATCTGCTGCCGCACGACATCGATGCCTCTGTCGTCAGATGCATTCAGCTCCAAGATCATATTGTGATACTGCGCTCCGTAAAGCTTGCGCGCCACTGCCAGTATGGTCGATGTTTTGCCCGTGCCGGGAGGGCCATACAGCAATAGATGCGGCAACCTGTTCTCATTCGTCAGCCTATCAACTGTTCAAAACATCCAATACCCCACATAAGAACAAGTAGTCAAAGCTCAAAAACTAGAGAACGAAGGCTTCAAATCACACAGGACGCATCATATTAAAAGAGCCCGAATCGAAATTCCCTGATTAGACACCAACTTTACCCTAACGCCGACCAGGATACGACTGAACCAATAGGACTGAAACAAGAACCCTATGCAGGCCTAAAAATCATTTCTTTTGGTCTTTCTCCGGCGTTTTCTCCAGAAAACAAAGCGAAAAATCAGAGCGAAACCGGAGATAAACCCCGGTCGAAAACAGGAGGACGGCGCGAGAGGGAGAGGAGAGACGCACTGGTGTCCACAATGTCGCGATGAGCGGCGACGTCGGCGAGCGACTGAGGCCGGTACTTCTCGACCCACGGCGTGGCCTTGCCGTCCGGAGGAGCGCCGGAGACGGCGGCGGCGCCTTTGCCCCTGTCCGACTTCGGGGGGCGGCCGTGGTCGCCGTCGATGTCGCCGCCGCCGTCGCCGTCGATGTCCATGAGAGAGACCGCCTCCGTCGCCATCCCTTCGGGTCCTTGTCGGGTCGGGTCGGGTCGGGTCGGGTGGGGGATGGGGGCGGGGGTGGGGGCGTTCGCTGTTGTTTTTTGCTAAGGCTAACGAAGGACGGAAGGAAGGGGACTGAGACAGAAGGGAGGGAAAGGTTTTTCTCAGTCGATGTCTGGAGCTGAAATGGCGCCAACGAAATTTCGTGGGGTTTTCTCTGATTTTCTTTGTCGGGGATTATTTTATTTCCGGGATAATAATACAAACAGCACCTAAACTTTGGCACAACGTGCAATATGATCTTTGAACTTTTAATTTATTTAATATAGTTCTTGAACTTTACCTTGATGTTCAATGTGGCTCTTGAACTTTTAATTGTTTAATGTAGTCCTTAGATTTTTGGTACATGTTCAATATAGTCCCGAACTATATGAAAATGTTCAATATAGTCATGTACATGTTCAATGTAATCTTCGAACTTTTCATATAGTTCAAGAACTATATTGAACATGTACCAAAAATCTAGGGACCACATTACACATTGGGTTAAAGTTCAGGGACTATATTGACCAAATTAAAAGTTTAAAGACCACATTAAATATTGGGCCAAAGTTCATGAACTACTTGTGTCAAACTTTCCTTTTTTTTTTATATTCTTTTTTTCTATTTTTTTGGGGGCTAAAAGACATGGTATTTTAATTAATTGATTTAATTACCTTTAAGCACCAGGAATCAAGAATGAATTATTATTTATACTCATCTTCTTTAAGTGCAAATTCATTAATTGTCGCTTTCCCTTCTTGGTCTAATTTGGGCATAAGTGCACCGAAAATTCTGAAACTTGCCTCTAAAGTACGATCGAATCTAAAAATTTTGAAAAGTGCAATTAAATCTTAAAACTTGTCCAATTGATGCAATTAAGTCCTTCTGTTAACTCTGTCGATTTGGCTAAAAGAAAATGCTAACGTGGTATTTTTTTATTATTATTTTCCCTCTCATAAGTGACACTTTTATTAGTTTCGTCCCCAAATCTTACTTAAATTAGGTTTAAAACTTAAAAAATGCTATAATTCTGTTGAAAAGAAAAACCACAAGACCCTCATCCCATGCTAAATTAGACTTGCGACGACGAGGTGGTGATGAATTGCAAGCGAGGTGGTGCGATGGCTTGTCAACGCATCGCGCGTGGCAAGCTAGCAATGTCTATCGTGATAACCATGTTGTGCCGCGGGAAAAATCAAATGTTTTGGACAAAAAGGACATATGTGCTTTTTTAGTTTTTTTTTTCTTTTTAATCTTTATCATATTGTGTTTTGGACCAAAATGCCCTGTTTCGGCCCATATTTAAAACAAGTGTTCGCTGCCTGACAAGTTAAGCCCTTATTTGACACTCACTTGACCATTTCAGGCTCGTATTTGAAACAAGATCTACTTTGAGTCTCCTTTTGATAAAATTATCTCACTTCCGGCCTTAATTGGGAATTTTCCACGACTTTTTTTCTCTATAGTCTCATCTTTCACACCCATTACATTTCGACGTTTCTTACATGTTTGTCTTCTTCCAAACTTAATCCGTGCGAACTTTATTACCCTAGATAATCCTCATGATCGTGAATATTTTGACTTTGATTTTCGAAACAAATATACACGAATTACTCACAGATTAAATCTTGTGGTTAATAAATGCATTATACACAATTTACTCATCTTTCATTATATTGTTTTCTTGTAATGCAGTCACTATGGAAGACAATATCGCAGAGGACCTAAATTGCTTAAATGTATCTATTGACGATGAAACTGTAAATGGAGAACATCAATCAATCATGTTAACAAGTTTATTTGGAGTTTGTCACACTAAACATGAAACTTATTCCTTGATTTATGTGTTTTCTAAGTGAATAATGACTATCTTAAACTTTTATTGTCTGATCCGGGTGAAATATTTTTTCGAGAGAGTAACCTTTTCTGGGGGACGGACGATAACTTTTTTTAAGTTGCATGTGCAACTTGTTATTATTGCAGTGGATAATTTTATTTTCATTGATAATTCTATGAAAGTTATGATGCATTTAGAATTCATAAAAAATGAGTGTTTGCAAATTGTTTGAATGGGTTATCTTATAATGCCATTACAATTGCCATAATTTCTTGTCAACAGCTAATTATACATGTAATCAAGTCAAAAATAGCATTCTGTATAATAATGTTTTAGGGAGCATTTGTTTTTCTTTTGCATTTGCATGATAATAATGGATGTTTATAATTTTCTATGCACCGAACTTTGTCATATTTTAAATTTTTTTGTTGTATCTTTTAAAACATCATGCAATGATGGCACGAAAAATAAAGAAAAATCAGACTATTAGATTCGCCAAGTAAATCGAAAGTTGAACAGTTAAAATACACTGTAATTAAACGAAGTGTGTACCAGAGGCGGTGGGTAGAGTCTTTTCACCCTTACTTGTGCTTAGGTTACTTTTAAATAATTATTTTTAGTACGAATAAAAAGAGAAATATACTTACAACTCATTTACACAATGTTTAATTTTATTTTTTTTTGGTTGGGAACACAATGTTTAGTTAGCCATCTGCCAGATCAAATTTTTTTATGAAAAGATGGACACCAATTTTACTCCAAAAAGAGAACGAAAATGAAAAACCAAAAAAAAAAAAAAAATCTTAAATCAAGAGTCGGCCCCATATTTAAACTTAATAAATGTTGTTTGAAAGGAAAGAGGCATGGATATTTCAGTATAATATCGAAACAAAAGAGAAAGAAGAAAAAAAGAGAGAGTAAGAAATCATCTTAAATCAAGAGTACGACCATAAGAAATAATATAGTCAAATTCAATGTGATAGAGAGTGACATGAGCCAATAAGGGATACAAATAGCGAGCCTTAAAATATTAAGAAACAACAACCTTCTCTCATCTTTCTTCAACAGATTTTGCTAAACAAAGGCCTCTTATATCGGCTCATGTGTGCTTGACCTTGCAATCCTTTGCATGCTCTCTCTCCCTCTCCCTCTCTCCCTCTCTCATGGTCGATCATTCGGACGTCGTCCGCTTACCAAAAGTCGGCTGCATTCCGGACATCTCCAGAGCCTACAAATCACTCAGAGCGATATGGAATCCCGATAGGCGTTCGTCTCCTGGCCGGATCGGAGCTGGAGACAAGCCCAAGGCCGTCGAAGCTGCGACAGATTCATCATCAAACGACCTCGAAGCGAACCCGACCTCTGCATCCCTTAGGCAGCACGACGAGGTGCGAGTTCGTTGTCCTTTTGATCACTCATTCCGAATTAACGTTGCAGTACGTAAGTTATGTGGTAGTTTAGGCAAAGATTGATATATGTGATGAAAGGATCGATTCTGAACAAAATTTCTACCAACCAATGACCTAGGATTCTTCAATGTTGATCGTACCAACATCAAACTAAATGAAAAATGGATTTTGATGACTTCGTCGATGAATATGAACCATGATGATTGCTGATTAAGTAACTTGTAATGACCGAAAAGAATGATCTCATTAAGCAATCGATTAGGATTCTCTTTGACATGTTGCGACTATCAATCCCAGGAACTAGGTTCCATCCATCAAGAAGAAGATAACATGAATGGAATCCCCAGCTACAGATATAGTCACAAGAACGGCAACCACGACGAAGAGCCGAAGAGTCCTAGGTTAGGATGCTTCGGGCACCGGAGAGAGAGTTTCTTCGCCTCCATGCCGTCCCCTCTCTCGAGAAGCGCGAGCCGGAGGAGTCAGCCGCCGACGCACTCCTCCCCTTTCAAGAGCGTGAGCCGGAGGAGCATCGATTCCACGGCGTTCGGTCCAGCCTCGCTCTCGAGGAGCTCGAGCCGGGTGAGCTCCACGCCGATCATGTTCTCCAATTCGACCGGGATGCTGAAATCTCCGGCCATCGAGAGGACTTTGGAGTGCACCCTGGAGGAGTTGTGCTACGGTTGCATGAAGAAGATCAAGGTGACAAGAGACGTCCTTACGAATACTGGGTATGTTCTGAATAGTTTTCTCAGAGTATAACGCTTTTGTTTGGGAATTTTTTTCACAAAAACAACTTAAAAAATTCTTAAGAAACATGGTTTATATAGCAAGATTTGATATTACCTTGAAGACAGCAAGGTGTAATTTTTATCACACGATGAATTATTGTTCTTTATTTTCAGGCAAATAATTCAAGAAGAGGAACTGCTCACAATAAAAGTGAAGTCGGGATGGAAAAAGGGGACCAAAATAACATTCCAAGGCATGGGGAACGAGCGGCCCGGCGTCCAACCGGCCGACATAACCTTTGTCATCGCGGAGAAAAAGCACGGCCTGTTCAGGAGAGAAGGCGACGACTTGGAGCTGGCGGTCGAGATCCCGCTAGTGAAGGCCCTGACCGGGTGCGACCTCTCGGTCCCTCTATTGGGCGGCAAGTGCCTGGTCCTCACGGTAGATGAGATCATATACCCGGGCTATGAGAAGGTCATCGTAGGGCAAGGCATGCCCGTACCGAAAGAGCAAGGCCGGAGGGGCAACTTGAAGGTCGTTTTCCTGGTGGCGTTCCCGACGGCCTTGACCGACGACCGGCGAGCCGAGATCGTCGGCGTTTTGGAAGGGTCGGTTTGAAGGACAGCCTCAGTTTTGTCCACAGCTCTATGCATAACGGTCGCTGCTTGTTTTGTTGTAGAAGTTAACGTAGCTAAGGGGCTCGATTTACTGGTGTAGTCTTACAGTAGAAGTCAAAGCAGGCATTGCAATAGATCTTGTAGAGCCGAAGTTGTTGCCTGGTTAGTGAGAGAGGGAACTTTTAGTCATTGTTTGGATTTTGTCTCATGTCAAAGTTCATGCATGTGTAACTTCCCCTTTGCCAATGCTTTCCCTTTTCTTTTCCTCTTAACGTGGAGAGAAAAGATATTGCATAATTTATAGGCCATTTCGATACCATCTTTAACATTGATAGAATGAGATCCATCGTAGGACCAGCATAATCAATAGTCGAGATGGATTTGATTTATACAGCATATATACAATATCTTTTCCAAGAGAAGAAGGTATGGTATCTTGTGCACATATCGACTAATGTGTCAAATTAATTATAAATGAAACATTTTAAGTTTGCAGAATTCTTCGTTTCCATGCCGGAAAATATAGATTTCTTTCCGTGTTGGTAAATTTGAAGTTATATTGGTCAGTGTCAAAAAACTGTTCATAAAAGAAATGAATGGTGACTTTCTTTTTAAGAAACTTGTTGGTAATTTACCGACACTTTTATAAAATTACCAAGTTTTTTTTTATGGTTTTTAAATTGCCAATTTTTGTAATGACATACCAAATTTTATCTACGTAACTTACCAACACTTTGAATTTAGTAAATTACAAGTTAGTCTGGGTTACCAACTCTTATTTAAATTACTTATCAATGTTCAATTATTTTTTTGGTTTACAAACTTTTCTAATTTGGTTACCAATTTTTATTTGTCTTTGATGGAAACCCCTTAAATTAGATTACTCTTTCTAGAGATTACTAACTTGCCAACTTTTCTCTTATGAAATTACCACCTAGTATATGATCTTATTTGAGATACTTATCAACATTTTTTTTTTAATTTGCTAACCCTCGTTCACAAACCTTTATTTGTCTTTCTGAGTAGGGCTTTAGATTTAATAAGTTTTTTTTTTTCAGAAAATACCTTAATTGGAGTGGCTTATCAACTTTTTTCTTATTAAGTTACAAATTAGTCTTGTGTACAAACTCTTAGATGAGTTACTGACTAAGTTTATTTTTTTTTTAGTTACTAACTTTTCTTATCCTTTACCAAGTTTGATCAATCTTTCTAAATCACGTGTTAAATTTACTAACTCTTGAAAGTAATTATTGACTTAATTGGAAATGACTTATTAAATTTCCTCCTGTTAAGTTACCAACTAGTTATTAATAAAGACAAACTTATAGGAAAATTACTAGCTTTAAAAACATAAATAAAAAACGTTGAGTAACTCAAATGAAGGTTGGTAAATGGAAAGTAGTTGGTAACCAAATGAAGCAAAAGTTGATATTCAGTTATTCACACAAATAAATATTGGTAAATTTATGTAAGAGTTGGTAAACTTAAGATGTTTGGTAAATTAAATAAGCAAAAGTAGTGGATAATCTAATGAAAGAAAAGCCAGTAAGTCATTCGAATTGAGGTCGGTAAACTCATCTAAGAGTTGATAAATATTAGGTGCTCAAAAATGGACAAATAAAAGTTCGTAGACAATACCAAAAGTTGATTAATAAAATAAATAACGCTAGTAAGTAGTTCGAATGAGAGTTAGTAACCTAAAACTAGTTGGTTGTTTAATCATAAAAAGTTGGCAAGTCACTTAAATAAAGATTGATAAATCCAATTAAGAGTTGGTAAATTTAAGGGATTGGTCAAGGCAAATAAAACTTGGTGAAAAATGAGTTGGTAATTTCACAAGCTGCAAATAAAAAAATCGGCAAATTGAGAAAGGTATCGTAAGTTACCAAAAAGTTAACTGAAAATTTAGGCGACTAGTAACTTTTTTTCCTCCGACAGTTTTTTGACACTTACCAATTCTTTCAAAAGTTCAACAGCATAAAGAAAATTTATTTTTAAAGGAATGGGACATTAGAATTGCCCTTTTTTAAGTTTAGTGATATACTTGGTTTTCGGGAAAAGTGTCAGAAAAGTCCTAAACATTTTGTATTGATACTAATTTAGTCCTAAACCTTTTTTTTTGTGTCAATTCAGTCCTAAACATTTTGTCTTTGTGTCAATTCGGTCCATCCGGCTAATTTTAGCGGGATTTTGCCGACGTGGCACCACCGGCGATGACGTGGACAACTTTTAATAATATTTTAAATATTTTTCCGATTTTTTTTATTTTGTAAAATTTTTTAATTCTTTTTTTCTTTTTTTTTTCTTCTTCCTCCGGCTGGTCGCCGGTCCGGCAACAGGCTGGAGGCCAGGGCCGGCGAGCCCCACCGGCCAATGGCGAGGTTCGCCCCGCCGACCATTGGCAAGGCTTGCCTTGCTGACGACTGCAAAGGCGAAGGTGAGCCTCACCAGCGGCTAAACGAGGCACGACCTTATCGGATCTAGCAAGGTTGGGCCTCGCCCATGGCCAGCGAGGCTTGACCCTCGCCAGATTTGGCGAGGGCAAGCCTCAAGCTGGGCTGGGCGAGGCACGACCTCGCCGGATTTGGCGAGGTCGGGGGTCCCTCATGGCCGGCAAGGGCAAGCCTCGCCCAGCTTAGCGCGAGGCTGCCCTCGTGACCATCCGAGGAGGGTGAGCCTCGCCACCCTCGCCAGTGGCTGGCCAGGCAAGGCTCACCACCTCGGCCTCTAGCCTCCAGCCAGTCGCCGGACTGGCGATCGGCTGGAGGAAGAAGAAAGGGAATAAAAAAATCGAAAATATTATTAAAAGTTATCCACGTCATCGCTGGCGGTGCCACGTAGGCCGATCGGTGTCTACGTCAGCAAAATCCAGCCAAAATTAGCCGCAAGGACCGAATTGGCGCAAAGACAAAAGGTTTAGGATTGAATTGGCACAAAAAAAAAGGTTTAGGACTAAATTGACATCAATGCAAAATGTTTAGGACTTTTATGATACTTTTTCCCTTGGTTTTCCGCTATAATATAAGCAATCATTCTAAAAAGTGATTGAACGTTGCTTGATTCCCACAATGATGTAATGAACCATTCCCAAAGTATGCTCTCTTTGAGAAGATTAGGCACCCTGAAAAATAAGCATCCACAGAACTTGTCCGAGAGAATATGCCTTATCCATAGGCGGTGCTTGGTACGGATAACAAGTTTTGCAAGGGGGATGGAAAATGACAAGCATTCTCACACTTCCCTGTTGAATATTATATATTTTCCATTTTGACCCCAAGACTCGAGCTAAAGAACACAAAATTTGCAATTCCCGAGTTTAGGGTGTTGGGAACGCGCAACAGAAGCCCGACACCTCACTCTATGGAGATGGCTAAGGGGAAATCCAACAGGCCGAGCTCATTAACATATTCGGCCGGAACGACATCTTCTCAAAATCTTAGGATAGTGAAATTATAGAACAATTAACAGCTCCAAATCGTGACAATTATCTAAGCTGGGATTCGATTGGCACCCTTTCTCGCATTCTCATTTTAATAAATTCCTCCTACCGGGTAAGTCCCTTGCTTTAAGCTGCTCCCTTAAATTCAGGTATCTTTATGTACTCATTCATCTTGACTTGATTCTCTGCTTTTGTTGTGTTGTACACCACGACCCAACAACCATCATCGCCGACTTGGAAACTACGTGTTCGAAGCCATCGCCCGCCTTCACCTAATTGCCTCTCCTCCGTCAGACCACGGACCGCGGTAGCAATTTTCACCCAGCAACCTTGATGACTATCGAGATTCCTTTCTTGAGAACTTTAATCGAGGCATCTACCCTTTAAGCCCACCAGTCAAACGATCTACAATGATATCACTTGTTGGCACGTGGAGCATAAACTCGTCGCTTCAAGCAAAGGAGATTACTAAGAGAAAAAAAGTTAATTTAGGGTCCGTTACCGTATCCAATTGTCACCCGTCTGCGATAATAAGTTTAAGCCGATAAGTCATGAACCAGCCAGCTAATATTTGCTCCAAATTACATTAATTATTTGATGCGAATTCGGTCAACAAAAAGGAAAAAAAGAGAGAGGATATATCCAATGTGAATTTACCTTTACAAAAGTTGCACCAAGCATCAAACGATGAAAAGGGAGGAGGGCCTCAATTCCGTCACTGACTTTTACTCCTTGGGGGCTAACTTTTGACTTCGTAGCGTTAGAGACAAGGAAATGTCTTCACTTTCCCACTCCCTGTTGATCTTTTAAACTCGTGTCTCAAACTCCACATTGATCGTGCTAAGTGCGTGTTTCGGAAGACTCTTTTTACTCTTTAAAGTTTCACTTATGAAGCTTTTACTTTGTATGAAATGAAGTTTTACCTTTGATTATCGTACTAGACACCCCCCGGTTTTGAATTGCTAATCGAATTTCGTTAAGCCGAGGAAGTCGATCCGGCGATGACATATCTCGAGTCTTCCGTCTAAGCCCGGCTCGTCGCCGTTAATTACTCGACATCAAGTCACGGAAAAGTAATGTCTTGCTAATTCTCTAAATTTTGATGTGAATGACCCGTTTTTTCATCGGAAGGATAGTTTGGTGCAATGAAAATGGGGTCTACTAATCCCCAAATATTTCGAAATGGACTCAATGGCATTACTCCTGGAGGCATGCGAACGTGCTTACGTCATCGGAGTTGGTGTTCTGTTCCCTTTTTTTTTTTTTTTTTTCGCTTTGACTATCGGTGGGGTGGTAGTTTGGAGCCGCTTCTTCCAAGGCGGCACCCAGGCTTAGCACGGCGAAATCGTCGCGGTTTTGCAACGTCGTCGGCCGTCCGATGACGAAAACGTTTCCTTTCTTCGATCCGCCGAACACGGCCTCTATGTCGAACCGTTGGGTTTTGCACGACAAAATTATCGTGCACGATATCACCGGCACACCGGAGCACGGGCATGGTGACTGGACCTGTGGAATTGAGTTATAAATCTATTTCTTAACTCATAATTGATGGATTGAGTTGTTATATGGATAAATTATATTCAACATATGAATTATGAATGAGTTTAGAATAGCAAAATCTAACATAATATAGGTGTTAAATGGATCCGCAGCTTACTAGACCTTACCCATCTTTACGATTCTCTCTTCATTCTCTCTCTGTCGTCCTTATCAATCTCGCGCTCGCTTATCTCGTGCCCTTACCTCAGCTTGGGTATGAAATTTTTATATGGAAGTATTTTGGTAATATGAGTTGGATTGAGTGTGAATCGCTAAATTCGAGTTGAA